GAGATATCTACTAAAAGGCTGAAGGGGGTGGGGGGACCTATTGTCCTCCCCCCTGGCCCCCACCACTGAGCCAGAGGGGCCATAGGTCCCCCCCTTAGTCTGATTTAGGGCCCCCACCCGCCGCTCAGGGGTTGGGGCCAGGGGGGAGGAGAATAGGTCCCTCCCCCATTATTTTACTTTAGGGCCCCCACCTGCCGCTCGGGGGTGGGGGACGGGGGGGGGGAAGGACAATAGGTCCCCCCCTTTTTACTTTAGGGCCCCCACACGCCGATTTTAGTATTTTTTTTTTTTTTTAAACAGTGAACACTGGCTGCTCACTGTTTAATAGACATTCCCCTACTCGCGGTATAGCTAGTAGGAGCAAAATTTACGAATACTAAGTCATTTTTACTTCGTATTAGTAAATTTGGCTGAAAGACCAATTTAGATCTTTCAGCCTTTTGGTAGAGAACTCCCTAATACCGTGGGAATTAGGGAGTTATCTACTAAGCGGCCTGAGTATCCCAATTGTTCCCCAACCAATCACCACACACTTAAGTCCTTCTCTAAAATCACTCCCTTGCCTTGTCGTGGTATTAGTAGTCCAATAGCTCATTTTAGTATTCATTGTGTTTTTCTGATTTGACTCGACTGTTATTTAGACTATTTTTACTTCTGTAATCCCTTACCTTGACTTTGTGTACTTAATTATTCTACCTTCTCCTATCCTTGACCTGTCTCCAGTTATCCTTATTCTATATTAGGACTATATTCTTTGCTCCTTTCGTTAAGCGAAGCCAGTCTAAGGTCGAGTAATCCGTATTTATCTTTTTATTAATTATTGCTTCTAGCTTGGGTGTTGGGGTAGTACATTGACAGGGAGTATTTTTTGACTTTTCACATAGGCAGCATGGTGCTGACTCAAGAACTTAGAGATAAGTAGAGTAGAAAGTTCACATTTTATTAAAACAACACTATAGTAATATATGTAATATATGTTAAAACCACCATCTTGCCCCCTAAATGGAGCAAAATTGTACTTTTATTCCAGTCTGCTGCTGCTGGCTTTGCCCCTGATCTATCCACTTGGCTGACATAAGTGATTCTCTCAGCCAATCACAATGGTTTTATATAAGAAAGCACTGGCTTGGCTGAGATGGTCAAGGAGGTAGATCATGCACATTGAATTAATGCACATCTATGAGGAAAGTTCAGTTTCTCCATGCAGAGGATGGAGACACTGAATGGCAGTACTGCAAGGTGTGCAGCACTGCCACAGAAAGCACCTCTAACAGCCATCTGATGAGTGACCAGTTGAGTTATCCCTAGGCTGTACTGTAAACAATTCCTTTTCTCTGAAAATACATTGTTTACTGCAAAAAGCCTAAAGGGAATGGTTCCACTCACCAGAACTAAATACAATAAGCTGTAGTTGTTCTGGTGACTATAGTGTCCCTTTAAGTTAAAGGGATTATTACAAGCAATTATGTATTTGTTGCTTAAAAAGATGTTAAGGCTTAAAAAGATCCTGTCACAACACTAATGTAAGTTAGTACCATGTGCATCAGGCATGTTTACCTTAAAATCCCCTGCACCTAGAAATGCTTACAAGGCGCAGCAAGAAATGTAACAATGCCCTCTATTGTGACATACTTCTGCTTATAAGGTGACCTAAAATTATATAACCATGGTCTTAAAATCTATAACATCATTAGTTATTTAACATGCTGTCACTGTCAATGTGTTATATGCTAATTGTTGTGCTGGATTCTACCATTACTCACAAATCCAGTTTGCGGTTGCTTCGTACATAAAACATCAATATACACGTCTCTCTCACATACAAAGACAAATACACACATTTGTAGTTAGAAGCATGTCGCCTGCTTTGCCTACTGGCAAATCGGTCCATGCTCACTGCTCATAACTCAAAGCAAAGTCAGACTGTAGAGAAGATAGAATGGTTTTTCGTTTTGGTTTTAGCAAATTTCACCTGAACACATTTGTCACTTATATTAATGAAGCATTTCAATGTTATAGAACACATTTTTGCATATAGTCTAATAATCAATAATCATCATATTACAATAAATAGGTAAGGATTGCTGTAGTCTTGCTGTGAATTAAAGGCTCTGTATAGACCTGTGTTTAAGTTATTCATATTTTTATAATATTTTTTTTTTCCCATTTGTGCACACATTGTAATATATTGGTGCAGCATCTTAAATGACCACTCTAGGCACCCAGACCACTTCAGCTTAATGAAGTGGTCTGGGTGCCAGGTCCAGCTAGGGTTAACCCATTTTTTCATAAACATAGCAGTTTCAGAGAAACTGCTATGTTTATGAATGGGCTAAGCCTTCCCCTATTTCCTCTAGTGGCTGTCTCATTGACAGCCACTAGAGGCGCTTGCGTGCTTCTCACTGTGATTTTCACAGTGAGAGCACGCCAGCGTCCATAGGAAAGCATTGTAAATGCTTTCCTATGCGACCGGCTGAATGCACGCGCAGATCTTGCCGCGCGTGCGCATTCAGCCGACGGGGCGGAACGGAGGAGGAGAGAAGGAGGAGAGCTCTCCGCCCAACGCTGGAAAAAGGTAAGTGTTTACCCCTTTCCCCCTTCCAGAGCTGGGCGGGAGGGGGTCCCTGAGGGTGGGGGCACCCTCAGGGCACTATAGTGCCAGGAAAAAGAGTATGTTTTCCTGGCACTATAGTGGTCCTTTAACATATTCAATTATTATGTTCAACTCATTTATATCCATGGTGATCAAACATCTTCCTGTCGCCTGGACTTTCTCCATCTCGGTCTTTCGTAATAAACCTTTGAATGGGGGCAGCTATGCAGTCCAAACCTTGGTGGAGAAGTGTGTGCTTGCTGGGGCAAATAATGACAGATGCCAATCACTTTCTGCCAAGACTCTTAAGGGGATTATTTACTAAATTAATTTGCTAGATCCGAAAACATTCCTCTGAGGTTCAATTTTTTTCACAATTAAGGGAACTGAAATCACATTCAGTTGAACAGGTCCCTGATATTTTCAAATGAACCTCAGTGAAATTAATTACAAAATATTTAATTTGAACAGCAATCACATGGAAGTCTAATTGCCCTGCTAGAACGAGAAAAAAATAAGTAAATGCTTTCTTACATGAACGCATTGAGACGACGTTGTCTGGATGAGTATAGTGTTGCTTGAAAGAAAAAATTGGGGGATGATTAATGGCTGTACCTATGGTATTTATCTCCCTGTAAAAATGTTTGTGCCGCTCCAACCCTCTTTGTTTCTCTATGCACCCTCTTGCGTATCTTTTAACCCTCTCCCATAAACCATTTTTGTCTGTGCCTCCCCCTCGTCACCCTTTATATTCCCAACTATCCATTCCTTAGAGTGGTGATTTGGGACTGCAGTAAAGGCTCTTCATTATCCTGTGTGCAGTCTGATAGAGTGGACATCGAGGATATGACATTCATAACGACATACCCATAGGCGTGCGCACGGGGTGTGCCGGGTGTGCCTGGGCACACCCTAATCCCTGCGGCCTGCACTATGTGCCTCCCTCCGTGGGCCGTTGAGGGAAATCAAAGATCTCCTTCACCGACCCACAGGCAGGGAGGCAGAAGAGGACCCGGGGAGCTCTTGCCAGCAGCTCCGCCGGGTTCCTCTCGCAAGGTCAGAGCTGCTGGGCTAGAGTTCACTCACCACTGGACCACCAGGGATGGCAGCAGCACAGTCCCCCTCCCTACAAAAGGTAAGAAGGGAGGGGGGGATACTAACTAAACTGCTCCCCCACCGCCACACAATACACACAAACAGCACCCTTATACATATACACACACAATCACCCACACATACAGCAGTATGTGTGTGTGTGTGTGTGAGTGATTCTTTTGTCCTGTGTGTATATGTGTATGTATGTGTGTATATGTATATATATATGTATATATATATATATACATACATACATACATACATATACACACATACATACACGCGGCATGTGTATTTGTGCTTTAGGGTGCACACCCTTATACAATAGGCTGCGCACGCCTATGCCCGCACCCTCCATACTGCTCACAAATCCCAGGTAGATTAGGAAGAGGTTGTGAAGTTCCTCTACTGTGCAAACCTACAAAGAATGAAAAGCAGGAAGGAGTGCTCTGTGCGCCAATGATCTACCTTTTCAAAATCGCAAAGCTGGTTTCAAATAGCAAACTTTTGTTTGAAACACTCATATTTAGACAGCTAAACATAACATAATTGCACAACCCTCTAGATATTACCAGATATATATGTGAGGCAGCCCTACCCCCAGTAAATGGTTTAACACAATGCCCTGGAGCTCCTGGTATAATAACTTAATTGACTTGAAGTTGATATGGTACCCGGAGTGTCTTTTAAGTGACACCAACTCCTTAGCACTTCCAAATGGGTCACTCCAAAATTCACAGGATCAATATAGACTGGGTGGGTGCAATTAACGTCATGACAGAGTAGGTAACGACTTCTTGGATGTTTAAGGCAGCATGTAATTTAAACACATCCATGAATATATCACAATGCAAAATAAAGTATTGCGTAAAACACTTTAATCAGTTCACAAGCTAAAACGGCAAACACATTGGTAACTGGATTTCAAAACAAAGATATGGTAAAAAAAAAATTGTGTGTAATCACGTTAAGCAAATGACCTCCCCCCAAATCATTTAATACCTGCCACCCCCAAATAAATGATATTTCAGTGAGTATTTTGTTTCCGTGGGCTCCGCTTCTGAAGGATGGTATAGACAGCAATTTCCTTTTTGTTTAGCCTCATGAATGGCTGATAAAAAAAAAGAAATTGGGTAGCAACTAGAGTCATACACAGCTGAGACAATAAAATATTGATTTCAGAACATAATTATACAGTAAAGTAACTTAAATATCACTTGGTAGAAGCAGTGTTATAAAACTCAGAAAATCCAGAAACAAAGATGTTCAGCTGTTTCCACTTTCTTCCAACATAGAGCGCCATGTGGAGTGGAGCTCCCTTTAGAAGGGTTCTCATTAAAGGGAAACTCCAGTGCCAGGAAAACAATCCGCTTTCCTGGCACTGCAGGTACCCTCTCCCCCCCATCACAGGTAGCTGAAGGGGTGAAAACCCCTTCCGGTCATTTACCTGAGACCCCGCCGATGTCCTTCGGCGGTGGTTTCAGGTTGGCGTCACTCCTCCCAGTAATAACGTCAGCCGGTGGGCGAGACTGATCCCGCCCACCAGCTGAGGAAACCTAATGCACATGTGCGGCAATGCCGCGCACGCGCATTAGGTCTCCCCATAGGAAAGCATTGAAAAAGATTTTCAATGCTTTCCTATGGGGAATTGAGTGACGCTGGAGGTCCTCACACAGCGTGATGACGTCCAGCGACGCTCTAGCAAAGAAAATCTTTGCCATGAATCAGGACAGCCACTAGACGTGGAGTTAACCCTGCATAAGAAACTGCAATAATTACAGTTGCAGGGTTAAGAGTAGTGGGAGTTGGCACCCAGACCACTCCAATTAGCAGAAGTGGTCTGGGTGCCTGGAGTGTCCCTTTAAAAGCTGTTCTGCTATAAATATAATATATTTATATACACACAAAATATATATAAAACATGTCATGCAACATAGAAATATCTACAGTTTTGTACACCTATAGAAAGGTGGGTCTATAAAAGCCAATGATAACATCTTATTACAAAATTACATTTAAGAAAAAAAACGAAAAAAACATGGTCATATAAGTTAGGAAGCATATTAAAAAGACAGTGCAGAGTATTTGTGTTTTAAATAACGTGAATATAGCTCATGTCAAAATTAACTTGATTTAATTTATAATTGGGGAGAAAATCTGTATATCAAATTAGTCATGAAGTAAATCATACATTAATAAATGCTATCCACTACTGCATCCAACCGCTCCTAAACTATTACCATTTGAGAATTAAAAAGCAAAAAAACTCATCTGGTGTTGGTACCAGGCCCTGATTTCCCTTCGTTCTCTATCAGTTTACGATTGATTAATTGTATCCTTTGAATGGCCTATCAATCTAGATGTTTTTATTCTCCTGCAAGTCACGAAAGTCTCCTAAACCAACACAAACACCCCAAAAAATGGTGGAACAAGACATCTATTTTTTTTCCCCATGTCAACTGCCTATGCAAAATTGATTTATCTAACCGTAGCAACTGGGGGCTCCACGGTAGCCTCTCCATAGCCCATTAACAGGCAATGAAGGATGTTAAGGTTTTTTTTTCTGAAATGAAGATTTTTGTGTTTAGCTGCTAAATTAGAAAATCTGTGTATAACAATCTGCATGCCTCATGGTAAATGCATACACATATTTAAGGCACCACTACCCAAGTCCTAGGCACGCTACACAACACGTGTTGGCTTAGTGGGAACATAGGAAAGACATGTTCCTGAAGGTGTGGCGTATTACCAAATGTATGCTCTATGAAGAACAGACAGGCTGATATGCAATCTTATTACTGTGGCCATGGTAACAGAACACTATGATAAAACATTCAACGCGCAAATGTCATTTATTTATACAGATATCACATTTGAGGCAGCAGACAATTTTAAATGCAGCAAAGCACAGAAAGCTAAAATAGTGCATTCCTTTAAAAAGACCACAATGTAGCTTAATGACAGATTTATTTTATGACATTTTCCTAATTTATTTAACCTTTAAAATACCCATCTCTATTCCATGAATTTGCTTTGGCGATCTCAATGAATAGTATCCAATTTAGTCTTATAGAAAATATCTATTTATATAGGATGCCAGTTCGTTTGCTTATAGCACATGGCGAAGTTTAGGGCTCATTTCCAATGTGATGGTTACAAATCAGTAATGAGCAGTTAATTCTCAAAAGCCTGTGGATATTTGTGGCCAAAACATACAGACTAACTTCAAAGCTTCAGGTCCATGAGCATTTTATGGTTTGCATACTAAAGATTTGCACATACATCAGGAAAGTTATGCAAATGCTGTAGCCACACATGGACGCTATAGAAAGCTCAACCTGATATCTTAAAGAAAAGAGAGAAAACTGACCAAAAAGGTCAGAAAAAGGAGAACGCCCCCTAGTGGATTACCATATGTTTGTGTGTAAATAAAACTTAACCTTTAATGATTTCTGTATAAAAATATTAGACAAAAAGAATAAAAGAACATATTAAAAATAAGTATGGATAGGTAAGGTAGGTAGCACTGAATGGGGTGTGTAAACTGATATAAATCTCACATCTAAGGAGTCCTGAGGTGAAAGAAACACACAAAACCCAATGAAGTGCTAATTCCAATCTATAGTACAGAGTGAAGTCAGCTAGTGAGAATATTTCTGCCACTATAATGAACATAGAGATCTCCTAGCTAAGGTATCCCTCTCTCGGTGGATAATGCTATGCGATATAGAGTAGCAAATTGTTGCTACATATGGTTGAAAATAGCTACATTGGTTAAGTAGCACTAAAGATTTGCTACAAACTTGCTGAAAAATTGACTAAACAGGAGTGAAGCATGATACAATATCGGCACTGCCTCTGCAGCTGTCAGAAGGCAGTACCTTGGCTGGAGGTTGGGGAGGTAGAAACAAATCTAGTCTCCCCCACAAGGACAAAGTGGAACTTGTATATACACGCCTTCCTCTGAGGTAGAGCCTCAGAGGAAGGCGCGTTTTGCAGCGCTGGAACACGTGTTAGGTAGCAGGGTTAGAGTTTGGATGGGCGGCTGAATCTGAGTTGTCACGGAGAAGGCAGCAAGTAGTGAGCTTTGTCAGGAGATGGATCGTGAGCAGATTTAGATAATCGATTAGTCCGTACTTTTAGGACGGGGCAAGTCTGCTGGTATACTGTGGAGGGTGTATATACAAGTTCCACTTTGTCCTTGTGGGGGAGACTAGATTTGTTTCTACCTCCCCAACCTCCAGCCAAGGTACTGCCTTCTGACAGCTGCAGAGGCAGTGCCGATATTGTATCATGCTTCACTCCTGTTTAGTCAATTTTTCAGCAAGTTTGTAGCAAATCTTTAGTGCTACTTAACCAATGTAGCTATTTTCAACCATATGTAGCAACAATTTGCTACTCTATATCGCATAGCATTATCCACTGAGAGAGGGATACCTTAGCTAGGAGATCTCTATATTCATTATAGTGACAGAAATATTCTCACTAGCTGACTTCACTCTGTACTATAGATTGGAATTAGCACTTCATTGGGTTTTGTGTGTTTCTTTCACCTCAGGACTCCTTAGATGTGAGATTTATATCAGTTTACACACCCCATTCAGTGCTTCCTACCTTACCTATCCATACTTATTTTTAATATGTTCTTTTATTCTTTTTGTCTAGTATTTTTATACAGAAATCATTAAAGGTTACGTTTTATTTACACACAAACATATGGTAATCCACTAGGGGGCGTTCTTTTTCTGACCTTTTTGGTCAGTTTTCTCTCCTTTTTTTTTTTAAATTTGTATTTTATTAGGTTTTATACACACAGTATACAATTTTCCATTATATGTGTTATTATATAAGTTAGAACAGGATCAATTAACATTTCGTTGGGCTACAAGCAGAGCAACAATCACAATGTCAGAGAAACCCTTGCTGTGGCATGGTGAGGGAACAATTTGTACATTTCTACTCTTCTACGGAGATCTCTACTTAAAGAGGTTGCTTAATATTCGAGGTTGCTTGATTTCAACAATCTTCCGGCTTAACCTATATATCCCATATATATGTGGGGTCAGATACCTAGGGCTATAGGTTAATAGCATGGAGTGCTGGGTTAGGGGTAGCAAGAATAGTGAGAAACTTTCCTTATAAGCTTATATGCATATAAAAAACATTATTATTATAGTTAAGTGTTGCGTTTCTCATGCTGCTTTCTGTGTCCATTGGCTAATATGCCTAATTTCTTGAGGAATGTCTCTGGGTCGTCTCCCGAGGTCAGGGTGAGTATATCGGCGCCCTTTTGTACCGTTAGCGATCCCTCTGTGCCCCATCGGTACCGGACCGATTGGTCTCTCAGTCTCTTACTGACCGGTGCTAGTAGTCTCCTTGCTGCAAGCACTGCAAAAGGGAGGTCACTGTATATGGCCACCTCGCATCCCTCAAATTTTACCGACCCCAATGATCTGGATCCGGCCATGATGGCAGCTCTCGCCGCTATGTCTCTGGTGGTGGCTATGGTGTCTCTGGGGGCACCAGCGGGTGCCGCTGGCGATTTGCGCACCCTGAAGGTGGACAGTATCAGTGGGGTGTCTGAATTACATCTAAGGCCCATGGAGGAGGTGAGTCTCCGGACAAAGGGCAGTAAATCTTCACCGCTCACCGTTTCAGGGATACCTCTGAGGCGTACGTTGCGTCGGCGGTGTCTGGTTTCAAGTGTTACCACCGCTCCTTGTAGGCGTCGGACCTGCTCAGTAAGACCATCCAGTTGCAGTTTGGTGTCTTGGAGTTGGTGATCTCTTGAGCTTTCTCTGTTCTCCACCTCCTGGACTCTCTGCTGCAAGACCCCTATTTCTGCATGTGTCTCCTTTAAGTCGGCCTTCCAGACCTGCCTTAGGTCAGTCAGCAGCCTTCTGATGTCCCCTTTTGTTGATGGGGAGTCATCCTCCTCCGAATCAGACCTGGGAGTGGGGCCTGGGAGGGAAGCTTGGGAGTCCCTCTCTTCCTGGGAGTCGTCAGAGGTCTCTAACTCACTCTGCGGTTCCGGCACCATCTTGGCGGGCCGCGCTTGTGTAGGCCTCTGAAATGCCAGCCTGATATCGGGTGCCGCGGGTCGCTCCGTGTGGGTTTGCTTTCTATGTTTGCGCCCCATGTTGTCGGCTGTCGGGTGGCAGGTAAGCTGCGCGTTTTTGGAGCTGATTTCTGCTCTGTAAGGCTCTTAGTCTGTGGGGCCGATGCAGAGCTCCACAGACATGCGACTGTTCAGCTCCGTGGTCGGCCACGCCCCCCCCAGTTTTCTCTTTTCAGTTATACATATAAGTAAGGGTTATCCCCCTATTCTGGACGCCCCAGATACACACTCTAACTGGCTCCCCTCTTTAGGGATATCCAGTGTTTTTTCCTGATATCTTAAAGGACCACTATAGTGCCAGGAAAACAAACTCCTTTTCCTGGCACTATAGTATTAATAGGTCCCCTCACCCTCATGGCCCCCCTGCCGCCGGGCTGAAGGGGGAGGAAGGGGTTAAATTCTTACCTTTCTCCCTTGCCAGGCTCCCTCGGCGCTGGGGACTCCTCTTCCTTTGCACGTCATCAGCTGAATGCGCATGCGCGACAAGAACCACACTCGCATTCAGTCAGTCCATAGGAAAGCATTTCTCAATGCTTTTCTATGGACACTTGCATCTTCTCACAGTGAAAATCACAGTGAGAAGCGTGGAAGCTCCTCTAGTGGCTGTCAGCGAGACAGGCACTAGAGGCTGGATTAACCCAAATGTAAACATAGCAGTTTCTCTGGAACTACTATGTTTACACCTGCAGGGTTAATCCCAGATGGACCTGGTACCCAGACCACTTCATTGAGCTGAAGTGGTCCGAGTGCGTATAGTGGTCCTTTAACATGCCAGTTGTGGGATAGTTACAGGGTATTTGAGAGTCATGGCTTATCACACCAGGAGGAAAAGGTGCTGAATGGTGGAGTAGTGGTCTGCACGCAGATATTAGCATAATACCAATATGAAGCCCATGGAGAAATCACAGCTTAGGGAATAGGGCCCTGACAGGGCTAGGAGCAGTAGGGGATTGGTAGAGCAGTGCTTGGGGGTTGGCTGATATAGTCAGCCATTTTATGATCCCTCACTCTAATTTCTTACCTAGCAGAGTTGGCCCCTCCCTCCGTAGTTTTCCCCCCGCTTGGTCACAGCGGCAGGGTGGGGTAAGGAACATTAAGGATAATAGACCTTAGTTAAGAGAGGAGTAAGGGGAGTTAGTTAATTGGTTAACGGATTGGTTAAACGGGTACACAGATTGCACATGTTTTGGTAGGTTTTGAGTCCATTAGTGGCTCAGGACTTCGGTGGTGTAGGGGTATCTGGGTATACCCCTACCAGGTGAAATGGATCAGTGTTGATATGTTATATGATGGTTGTATATTGGAAATGTATTATGTGGTGGGTCATTACCTTGATGTAAATATGGGAAAATGATACAAGATTGGGGCGTGGCAGGTAATGACCCCATATATAGATTGTTATATTATTATTATTATTAAAGCTGTGGTCAATTTAACCTATAACCCTAAGTGTCAGTGTCTTATTGGGTGGGTTCAAGTCATATATCCCTCTCCCTGCCCATATGGCGACAATTTAGGATTTGTGAAAGGCATGGTGGATTTCAGTAATGTGCCAAGCTGGATATCCAGTTGTTTTACCTGTTCACTGAACACATACAAACTTAGAATAACAATACATACAGGCCAGGGGGAGAACGTGTGGCACCTAGACAATAGGGGAAGGGGGGCAGCAGCCTGTATGACAGAGGCACTACTGAAAGGTTGTCTGCATTTCAGAGGTATTTGGTGGCAGCTATGGCTGCCAGTGCTGTGTGGGTTGCCTACTGTTGAGGTCCATTAAAGGAGAAAGACAAATCAATAACATCTATAACCCCCTGAGGCTAATTCTCATAAGGACTCTCTTCCAGAAAGGCAAGGTAGTAATGGTTGGGGGGGATTGGACCTCTTGTCACCCTTACCTAGACATGTGCAATTTGTTGAGTTCAGAATCTTATTTCGTTTAAAATTAACTTACACCAAATAATTCGGAACAAATTTATTTGAAATCCATTTGTTTTCATAAGTATTACAAATTAGGGACTTACGTGGGATTGCCATATTACGGATACCAAATCAGGGAGCTATCTACTATACACAACAGCTCCCTAATTTGGTATTCTTATGTAGGAATGCTATACTTGGGTGTACCAAACTAGGGAGTTGTTTAATACATAATGCCCTAATTCGGTACCCTTATGTGGGATTATCATATTTAATGGTACCAAATTAGGGAGCCGTTAAGTATCTTCCTAATTCAGAACCTTATGTGTGATAAAGATGCCAAATTAGGGTACTATCCACTAAAAACAGCTCCCTAATTTGGTACCCTTATGTGGGATTATTTCAAAAGGATACCAAATGAAGGCACTGTTTAGCAGATAGCTCCCTATTGTGGTGTCCTTACAAATGGCAATCCCACATAAAGATAGCAAATTAAGGACTTATCTACTAAACAGCCAAAATAAAAATATTTTTCTATATACAAGACAAAAAAATAAATAACACTTGTGTGCAGGCCCTAAGTTAAGATGGCGCCTGCCACGTTTCAGTGTGCCATAGCCAACATGCATACCTGGCCTCCCACCAGCCGATCCACTTCTGAATGCTGTGGCAAGGAGGAAGAGGTCCCTATATTCGTGGGAGCTGCAGCAGACATCAGCACTTTCCTCTAACGGAGCTCTGGAGAAATGCCACACTATAAAAAGAGCAGCCATGTCAAGGTTTGCTCCACCAGGTCTTGCTTTCTGATTTATATTTATGGGGGAGGAAATGGGGATCAGGGAGCAGAGGGAATACTACTGTAATGTCCCAGCATGCCCTCTCACCACCTGCTGTATTGTGGGAGCTGAGATTTCACAGAATAGCTTAGCACAGGAGGCATGAGAATCAGAAGTGTGTTTTCCTCAGAAGTCACCTCTAAAATATCAAAGTTGCTCAATTTGATGTTTAACATATTGATTTCTTAATTTTGGGCTCAAAAAATAGGGGTTGTCTTACACATGGGGGCATCTTATACACGGAAAAATACGGTAATACAAAGCCCTTTTATTAATTTTGATATTTCAGCTGTGTTCGTACACAACTCCCTAATATCCTTATATGGGAATATCAGTTTCTAAGGGTATCAAATTAAGGAGCAGGGTGCTAAGCAGCACCTTAATTTGGCATCTTTTGGAACAGTGGAAATAATGGTGGTCAGATTTAGTTTTGCTTCAGATTTTTTTTTCCGAATCTCATTTTGTTTTTTATCTATACTTTCAGAGTTTTGGATGTACAGAAATGCAAAAATGAACAAATAAGGAAAATTAATTTTCAACCGTGCACATGCTTATCCTCCAATTCATATCCTCTCAGATGACATTAAGGTGATGTATGGCATTAGTGAACTATCTTCTTAATTGTCAGATAATTCACATCATTTTACTTGCTGCCAAGTACCTCTTCAGGCTAAGGCACAATATCCATGGTCCCAAGAACCCCAGGATTACATGAAGTGTGGAAGAATACAGTAGACAGGAAAGAAAAACAGTTGCAAAAGGAAGTGAAAAGGTTTATTGAGGAATAGCACACCTTTAAAAATATGTTTCAATTTATGAAGCCATAGTCATGTATGTGGGAAGAAGGTTTAGACTGGGGGCAGAGAGGATAGTATGAAATTAAGAGGATACTTTGTAGGTTTTAAAAAGTTAATATTTGCCTTTTTTAAAGCATTAATAGATGTTGGTTATAAAAGGAGTCTAGATTACACATGTAAAAATAGGAGTTAATGTCTTAATACAATTACGAAACCATCCATAGGTACATATAATATTTATTATATGTATATAATAAATATTTTTACATAATAAAACTACACAAAGCAATCTTGACTTAGGCAGAAACAAATATAATTCAATACACATTGTTCAATTTTATGTAGGAAAACCAATTAGAATAGAATATACATTTCATATGAGCTGTCCTAAAACATACATGTTAATGTAAAAAAATGGGTGTTTAAATGTTTTTATGGTCATGAAATAACACATGAGGGTTTCCACATATATGTATTTGTGCTTGTAATATTAATGGAGGTTATTACCACCAAATAAATTCTTCTTTTTTTAAATTAATCTCTCAAGTTTATGAAGATTTTTACATCTTGTGGTGGCTTCCCTTTTTTGGGGTTTCTTGGAATCTCAATATCGGGACACAGGCAATGGTTCTTGTGCCACATTGTGAAGCAGCAACTGACCACTAGCTGGATAAAAAGGTCCAGGCATATAAAGTCAATTTTCATGACTCCTAAAAGCCTCTTAATGCCTATGTCCCATATATGGGAGTGATTAAAATCCTTCCTTTAGAACAGAAGGTTGTAGTATGTGGTGATTTGTTCCTGAATCCCCTGTAAAAAAGTATATATGAACTATTAGAGAATGATTGGTGATAAAAAAAATGAAACAGGACTTTGTTAATTACATTATTGGCACTCTTCTTAATTCATATGAGAAAAATATATTTGAAATATATTCCCGTTGATATTTTGAATTTTTAGGTATAAATATGAGGTAACAGATAAGCCAAATTCCCTTAGATTTGGATCTTTGCCTAGGGCGGCAGAAATCCTTGCACCGGCTCTGGTTGTACGGCAAAAGATTGTTGAGCTACACAAAATGTGAAGTGGCTATAAGAAAATAGCAAGAGCATTGAAAATGCTCATTCCCACCATCAAGGCAATAATTAAGAGGTTTCAGTCAACTGGAAATGCTATGAATCAACCTGGAAGAGGAAGTGTGTTTACATGGTCTGAACACAGTGTGAAGAGGATGGTTTGAGTGTCCCAAAAATCTCCAAGGATCATAGCTGAATAATTGCAGAAGTTAGTTGTGTCATGGGGTCATAAAGTCTCCAAAACTACAATACAATGTCATCTACATCGCCACAAGTGGTTTGGAAGGGTTTCAAGGAAGAAGCCTCTACTCTCATCCAAAAACAAACTCAAGAGTCTTCAGTTTGTCAGACTCTAGTGGAACTTCAAATAGGAGAGGGATGAAATCAAAATTGAGCTTTTTGGGAATAAACACCAGAGGAGGGTTTGGCACACAGAGAGGAAGCCCAATAGAACGGTACCTCATGCCCACATTTAAATAAGATGGTGGCTCTATAACTTTTTAAGGCTGCTTTTCTTCCAGAGTACCTGGGCATTTTGTTAGGATACATGGCATCATGGACGATCAAATATCAACAGATATTAAATGAACATCTGACTACCTCTGCCAGAAAGCTTTAAATCGGCAGTGGTTGGATCTTCGAACAGTACAATGATCCAAAACAATTATCAAAATCAACATAAAAATTATGCACTGACCACAAAACCAAGGTCCTGCTGTGTCCATCTGTCATCTAAATTAAACACCATAGAAAACCTGTGGGGTGAACTGGAGAGGAAGTTCTGTATGGAGAAATGGTCTCAGATCCCTTGTCATGCATCCTCCAACCTCATCAGGCATTGTAGGAGAAGACTTAGACCAGTTATCGTGGCAAAGGGAGGCAAGCACAAAGTATTGACTAAAATTGTGCCAATAATTTTGCCACACATTTCACAAAGATTTTCTTTTAGATAAACCTGTATTTGCAACCACAAGAGTGTATTAATTCTGAACAAAATATCCAAAAGCTAAACAAATTTTTTCACATTTTTTTTTTTTTTTTTAACAGCCTTTGCTCATATTTACCAAGGGTGCCAATAATAGTGGAGGGCACTGTAGTCTTGATATTATACTTCCAAGGGAATATTTATTGGCATTTGATTTTCTTCAAATATCTGACAGATTTGAGATTCCTCATAGCATAAAACACACTTTTGAAATCTTTCCAGTTTTGTGAGCCTGATCAGATATATGAATTGTCTACATACAAGTGGCACTGAGAAACTGGTTAAACCTAATGAAGGGTAATTTTAAATACGATTATGCAAGCATTTTAATATTGACATATATGTTTGTCGGAATCGATGCTGGGTTCTAGCAGATCTCTTAACATTTAATTTAATTGTGGGGCTCTGCACTGGTTAGACAAAATCTTTCCAACACCTGTTCATGAGCAAGGGTATCCAAATGGACTCTAGCATTATTGAGCCTGCACGGTCACCTCGGTGGCATGTTCTACTAATAGCACCTGCTCTGTCCCACCCGTTCCTCTATTTTATGGAGCGGTGTGTTTATTTTATAGGTGATATAGATTTATGTTATACCATATAACACGTGCATTTGTCCAGTTTAAGGGAATTTAAAGTGGTTGTGAGATTTTCTATTTATCCACATGCTAAACTTGATCAGTATTAAGTGATAATTTGTGCATTTTTCTTTAATATGCGATTTCAGTATCTCTATACTTTTATATTTACAGATCCTACTGCAGATTTGTATTTGTGTGTTTGCAAACATCTGACTTGCCATTTTAACAGGTCTTTGGTGATAACATTTATACATATATACACATGATTTTTAGATGGGCTTTGGTGCTTGCTAA